AGCAACCTCAAACTCTTGGGCTTAAGCAATCCTTTTGCCTCAGCCTCTCAAGTAGCTGGGACTACAGCACCTGCGACAACGCCTGGCTATTTTTTGTTGCAGTTGTCCTTGTCTACCTGGCTCAGGCTGGGCTGGAAACCGCCAAACCCGCCAGCCTCAGTGTGTGTGGCCAGAGCCCTACCAACTGAGCTACAGGCCCTGCCTCTCTCTGCCTCTAACTCTCCCTGTGGTCTGTCTCTCTCTGTGTGTCTCCTCCTCTGACTCTGTCTATATGCAGTATTTCTCCATTTCTCTCTCCCTCTCTGTTTCTGTGTCTCTGTGTGACTTACTGTGCTTCTCTGCATCCCTCCTTATTTATGTCCCTTGGACTGCCCCAGCCTTTCTCCAAAGCCAGCACTTCTGCAGAGGGGGCAAGGTCCAGCCGGGCCTCAATGACTCTCACTCCTGGACCCAAAATTTCCCCCAATCTAGACATGAAACCCAGCCTTCAGCCCCCACTGCACCTTCCCCAGGACCCCTAGGCCTTTCTTGCCCTTCCCCCACCCACCCACAGGATGCTTCTTCTTCCTGTCAAGAGCCCCTTGGGACCCCACAAGCAGAAGGCTGGAGAGTCCAGGTGGAGAAATTCCCTTATAGGAACAGGACAGTCTTGAGCAACTTGCAGGAAACTCAAATTTCCCATTTGCTGTGACAAATGAGGACGAGGTGGAAGGATTAGCTGAGAAGCAGCCAAAACCTGGCTCCAAAAGAGGAACCTCTCCTAGAGTCACAAGGAGGTGACCCTGGGAAAGCCCTGGGCTGGCTATTGAAGTCCTGGTCTGCCCAACCTAGCTAACCAGCTGTGGTCTACCTTGGCCTGCTCCCTTTCCACTCTGGCAGCCTCACTTTTCCCTAAGAGATGAGAAGGGTGGGGAAGGCAAATCCATCCCTCCACCAGCAGGAGTCAACAACCCATAAATGTGAGGAAATTCTGACTCAACTGAATAAGTATCTTATGAGGCCACTCAAGTATTGGATCCTGCACTGGGCCTCACTGGGGAATTACGGAGAAAGCGATAATGATACTGTGTGAAGCCCAACCTAGCAGGGCACCATATGAAAAGTTAGCTATGCAAATGTGAGCTCCCCAACCTGGATCCACAGAAGCTCTCAGAGGGGGAGCTGAATGACAATGTTTGAATGGGCCCTCCAGGCACCCGATGCTCACTCCAGTGCTCTGTACCAACGTTCTTGTTTCTATGCATCTGCTCCCCTCCACCTGAAATGTTCTTTGTCCTGAACTGCAGCCTATAGATACCTCATCATTTACATCTCCACTGACACTGTCCTTTCAGGTCAAGATAACAAGTTAAACCACCCTCTGCTTTCACTGTCTTGTGAAACCGCATTACAGTGACAGTTAAGCAAGTGTTTGTAAATCAAAACAAAATTGCATGGCTTGGTACCCATAGCTCAGTGAGTAGGCCACCGGCCACATACCCCAAAGCTGGTGGATTCAAGCCCTGCCTGGGCCTGCTAAACAACAATGACAACTTCAACCAAAAAATAGCCAGACTTTATGGCAGATGCCTGTAGTCCCAGCTACTTGGGATGCTGAAGCAAGAGACTCACTTAAACCCAAGAGTTGGAGGTTGCTGTGAGCTGTGAGGCCATGACACTCTGCCAAGGGTGACATAGTGAGACAAAGTCAAAAAAAAAAAAAATTGTAAATGTAAGCCAGCAAACTTCCCTAGAATTCTGCCACCTCAGCCGCTCATGACTCCCACCAACACTGACAATTTGGTGGATAACAGCTAAACTACAAACACTTGTCTTTGAGCTTCAGGGAAGGTAAAAAAAAAAATAGAACAAAATAAAATATAAATGTTTCCCATAGATAAATTTGCAAAGAGACACCAACTCTTCTCTCAATCAGAGAAGCACTTTAAAAAAAAAAATAGAAAGAAATTTAAATGGCAGACTTTCTGGAAAAAGGAACACAGATTGGGGGGGGGGGTCATCGAACCTGGAACATGACTATTGAAATTGAGATGCACACCCAGCCCTTGTCACCTCCCCTAGCATCCGGGATCCAGAAGATAAGAAACTAGAAGATCCCTCTTTGAGGAAACTGACCAACCAGGAAGATAGATTTAAAGATACTGATGCCAAAAGAACTTCCCATGATATCACCATCCTGCTGAGAAGCTCACAGACCACTGGCCAATCAGTTTGTTATTACTATTTTTTTGAGACAAGGTCTCATTTTGTCACCCAGACAGGAATGCAATGAAACAGTCATAGTGACGGCACCAGTAGCACAGTGCTTACAACAACGACTTCACAACAAAATCAGCCCTAGCCAGCTAAAACAATGGCAACTGCAACAAAAAAATAGCTGGGTGTTGTGGCAGGCACCTATAGTCCCAGCTACTTGGAAGGCTGAGGCAAGAGAATCAATTAAGCCCAAGAGTTTGAGGTTGCTGTAAACTGTGACACCATGGCACTCTACTCAGAATACCAGCTTGAGACTCTGTCTCAAAAAAGAAAGAAAGAAAGAAAGAAACAGTCACAGCTCACTTGAGCCTCAGAATCGTGGGTTCAAGCCATCCTCCTGCCTTGGCTCCCAAAGTATTGACATTACAGAGGTAGGAGCCATGGTGTCTGGCCTCAATCTGTTTATTATTAATCCCCACACCCACAACAAGACACAGCCAAGGATTAATTACTTAAATTGACAAAACAGATAACAGAAAGAGAAATTTAAAGGTCAGCCTCCCCAGACAACCCAAATGAAATCATCTGTCCCTCCCTCCCCCAATCAGGCCTCTGCCTACATCACCCCACTGGATTTTTTACTAGCAATTTTCACCAGAAATGTTCTGATTAGGTTCATTTGTTTATTTACTTGCTTGCAATTGTTTTCCCCATGAACTTTTAAGCTTCTGAGTGGCATCCTTATCTGCCATGTTCCTATTGCACCTCCAGTGTCTAGAAATGTGCAGGCCTTGATAATGTTTATGGAAGGAACAAAGGAATGAAGGAGGAAAGAAGAAAAAAAAGAAAAGGTATATACCATAAAGGTTAAGAGCATAGATTCTAGAGCCAGGGTTAACAAACTTCAGCCTCTGAAGAGTCCTTGGCCCACTGCCTGCTTTTTCTACAGCCCACAACTAAGGATTTTTCTGTTTCTAAGTGGCTAGGAAAAAGTCAAAAGAAGAATAATGTTTCCTAACATGTGCAAGTGATTTGAAATTCACATTTCAGTATCCATAAATAAAGTTTTATTGGCACACAACCATGCTCGTTCATTTCCATATTGTCTATAGTGGCTTTCTCACTTGCATGGTAGAGATGAGTATTTGCAACAAGAGACTGGCTAGCTCTCTTGTGCTGAGATTAAAGGCGTGAGCCACCAGGCCTGTATTCAAAGTACTCTGGAAGGAAAGGAGGATTGGTTGCACCCCGGAGTTAGAGAGCAACATATGGATAACACAGTGAGACCTCTTCGGGAAAAAAATTATTTTAATTAGACATGTGGTGGCAGCTGGTCCCATCTACTCAGGAGGCTGAGGCAAGAGAATCACTTGAGCCCAGGAGTTTGAGGCTGTAGTGAGCTGCTTCACCTGATTCAGTTCACTTTCCTTATGTGTTAAATGGGAATAATAGTAGATCCCAAAGGGTGGTTGAGAATTTGTTCTGAGCACGGTGCCAAGCACATAGCAAATGGTCAATAAAGTGATGCATTGTTATTGTGACTCCTGAACCCTCTCTGCAAGTCTGTGGTATACTATCATTCCCAATATGTGAGCACAGAAACTAAGACCCCAAAAGATGAAGTCCCTTGGCCAAGGTCTCGCAGTGACTGTTTTGAACTCCCCTTTATTCTAGGAGACTTAGTAGAGTCCAGTATGTGCCCTCCAGGGAGGGGAAAGAAAGCCTCCCAACCTGGGGGAGGCTCAGGCCGCAGCCAGGGAGGGCCATGACGTGATGTGGTTGGGACATCTGAGCCAGGCAGCCCCGCCTACCATAGAGCACTCAGCGTCACTGTTACCCTCCTAGCACCTCAGATTCAGTGGAGTGGCACTTCTGTGCTCAGCAGTCTCCCCAAAGTCAGCGTGGGCCCTAGTTTTCCTCTGCTATAGGGGAAGGGTCTGAATTTTTACCCTCACTATCACAGGACCTAGTGGAGGAAATGGGCAGGAAGTGGTTGGTGAGGACAGCACCCCAGCCCTGTCTAGGGAGCCCCTCTTCTGCCTCTGAGATTGAGTGAGCAGGCACCTTCCCTGGGACATATGCAATGATTTTTTTTTTCCCTAGCAAAAATCATCTCCTCTTCTCAGGGTTCTTGAAGCATGTTCCCCAGGGAACATGTTCTGCCACGGGTCTTCCCCAGTGTCAACATTTTCCCAGCCTGGATCCTCTGTCTCCCCCAGGACAGAGGCCAAACCTAATAGGGAGTATTAGTGATGCTTGCCAAGTAACTGCCACAAGTGAGACAGCAAGAGACAAGATGATTAGAGCAGGGAGAAAAAAAGAAGAGGGAAGGAAAGAATGGAGTGAGCTTGGTCTTGGGCCTTGGGTTGTTACCATTTAAAAGAGACACAAAGTGGGAAATTACATTGTCCAAATTACTTGAGTCTCTGTGAAGGCTGGGATTG